GAGAGGAAAGGAATTTAATCCAAGGTAACACAGACATGCATAACCAAACTGGGTAACTATGAAAGGTGCAATAGCAAAAATCAGCCCCAGCAATTCCACAGAATGTTATCTGTCTTAAAGCAAGCATTATTCATCAATTACTGTATATTTCTTCAGATGTTATATACATTTATGAAAATAAGCAAATACAGAACAATTTTATTTACCTAATTAATATTTTACATATTTTCAAAAATTTACAATAGATCTTGGAGTATCTTCCATTTTGTTATATATAAAAATTTTTAATGGGAGAAGTGTTACATGATAATTTATTCTTGTTGTGATAGGTATTCATGCTGTTGTTAATCTTGTGCTGTTACAATGCTGTTGTAGTGAATGTCTGTGTATGTGTTGTGTCATACATGTGAAAAACAAGTACTGAGTCAAAGAATGGGTATGTACATTTTTAATTGAAATATGTTGTCCAGTTATACTTCATGGAGATTGTAAGACTGTCAAATAAAATTTAGATTTAATGAAATTAATAAATTTTAATTAGTGGCCGTTTTACTAAGAGATTATCTTAGACTTGAAGAAATATTCAACACATAAATTCTCTAAATTAATAATTGCTGCTGTACATTTAATTGAGAATTCAGTTGAATTGCATGTGGTAAGTACACTGTTATCCAGAAATACATCTACTGGATAAAACATGTAAATATGACAACATGTTTTGAAAGTGTCATTGATTCTGCTTAGGCAGTGACTCTAATAATACAAACAAATCCCAGAGGAGCAATTTTGACAGAACTGCAGAGATAAAAATACGAAGGGATCAGACTCAAACAGGGGGAAGTAAGGCAGAACCTTACTTATTCTTAGGTTAAGAAGTTAATAAAAAAATTTAAACTTCCTTGGTCATATTCTCCCTGCTTCTGCTCTTCAAGGAGAGAGAAGGGAGGAGAGGGTTAGGGAGAGCCTGGGGGAGTGGAATGGTTGAGATTGAGGAAGGACAGATATGGGAGCAGGGAAGAAGATATCTTAGTTAAGGGAGACACTGTGGGGTTGGCAAGAGGCTTGACTCTAGAGGGGTTCCCAGATATCCACAGGGATGTCCCCAGCTAGGACCCTGGGCAGTGGAGGAGAGGGTGCCTGAACTGGCCTTGTCCTGTTGTCAGACTGATGACTATCTTGAATATCACCATAGAACCTTCCTCCGGCAACAGATGGAGATACAGACAGAAACCCACATGAGAGTACTGGGCTTTTGGGGATCCTAGTCTACTTGGATGCATACCTTCCTAAGCCTGGTTGGAAGAGGGAGGGCCTTGGACTTCCCACAGGGCAGGGTACCCTGCCCTCTCTTAGAACTGGAGTGGGAGGAATGAGGGTGAGCGGGGGAGCGGGAGGGAAGTGGGAGGAGGGAAGGAAGTGGAAATTTTGATTCCTAGTATTAATAAAGTAATAAAAAAATCTAAACTTACTGAACCCTCTTTATATTAGTTCTGCCTTTTGCTCAGGCTGTGTGCCTAAACCTGTCTACACGATTTTACAAATTCAAGAGCAGTAAACTGGTAGCGAATCCTAACTAGAACTCGATAACATCTGAAGAACTTTTCAAAGTGTCCAGCTTAGTGAGGACACTAGATATTCTCAGTTATGTTCCTCTTGTGTCTATTGTAAACCATGCTGAGAAGAGATGAGCCTCATAGAAGCAGTGACACGGACTGCAGAGCACAGAATTCCATTTGGCCAGAAAGTATACACTTCAAGGACCTAATGCACAGCATGGTGACCAGAATTAATAACTTCACATTTTCATGTTTTTTTTTAAATTGTTTTTCATTGAGCTCTACATTTTCCCTGTTCCTCTCCCTGCCTCTACTTTCCCCCCTTCAACCCTCCCCCAAGGTCCCCATCTTCCCAATTTAAGCAGGAGATCTTGCCTTTTTCTACTCTCCATGTAGATTAGATCTATGTAAGTCTCTCTTAGTGTCCTCATTGTTGTCTAAGTTCTTTGAGGTTGGGATTTGTAGGCTGATTTCTTTGCTTTATGTTTAAAAACCACTTATGAGTAAAATACTAAAAGTATAGATTTGTAATATGCTTACTGCAAAAAAAATCAGGTAATGCAATGGATTTAACTACCTTAATTTAATCCTTTTATCATATAAATATTTATCAAAACATCACATCATGTCTCATTAATCAGTAATATATACAATTATTTCCCAAACTTTTAGGAAAAACTTGAATAGATGAGGGTGATAAAGAAATGTGGATTCTCTTTGCAGATTTACAGCGTATCTTTTTTTGTTTTGTTTTGTTTTGTTTGTTTGTTTTTGTTTTTTTTGTTTTGTTTTTTTTTTTTTGTTTTTTTTTTGTTTTTTGTTTTTGTTTTTTGTTTTTGACAGGGTTTCTCTGTGGCTTTAGAGCCTGTCCTGGAACTAGCTATGTAGACCAAGCTGGTCTCAAACTCACAGAGATCCACCTGCCTCTGCCTCCCGAGTGCTGGAATTAAAGGTGTGCGCCACCATCGCCCAGCCTACAGTGTATCTTTATATGCTTTAACATGAGAAAGAATGTTTGTATTTTGCCAACCATTTCACAATGACTTTTTGTAAGAACTTAATAATTGGTTGTTGGTATAATTTTGTTATTGAAAAATAAACAGTATCAAAAAGTGGAGTTTAATGTTTAGTCTCTGATGAGCAGGAGCTCAATCTGTATTATCTGTGCTAATTGTTCAGCACCCTAGACTATACAACATGGAATTGTGTGACCTTCTAAAACTAAATTGGAGCAGGCCCAGAACCCACTTATAATTTCCTCTGGCAACTGAAAATACACAAGCTGAGTTTAAACAAATAGTGAAGAAAGATATCTGACACACTAAGAATGCTTTCTCTTCCAACTATACTCCTTCACAGTACGTCTCCATTGTACACAATTTTCAAACATTATACTGGCTCTATCACCAACTTGTCACTTGGTGCATCTCCATATATTATGTTCATTTCATAACTTAAGAACTAAGAACCCCATTAAAACTTTTTACTGACGTGCTTTAAATATCTTTACCAGTTGAGATTTTTTGTTACTATCACTGATGGATCAGTGCTACAAAGAGACAGAAGTACATTTCCTGGAAGAAAGAATCTCTTAACAGAGTCCAGAAATATTACACACTGAGTCATAATTCAAGAAAATTTGGGGAAAACACTTTACAAGTATGTGTCAGAGGTAATTGTGGCTTTATATAGAAGAGTAAGCTTGAGGTGATCAAACAGAATTGAAATTCTTTCTCATTCATTGGGTTCATAGTCTTAGAACAAACCAAGGATGTAATTCCACACAGGTCAATAGTCTTGAAGAACACAGATAGAAGAACACTTTTAGCACACACTATAAAACTCAATTTAGAATCACATTAAAAATTATCCATTATGATCCAAAATGATTTATTACTGTGATTCAAGGATGGTTCATATATATAAATGAATAAATACAACTCACCGCATCAACAGAATGAAAAAAATTAGACGATCATCTCAGAGAAGATAAAAAACATTTGACAGAACTTATCTTACAGTAAATACTCTGATTAAAGTAGATAAATGTTCCCTTATCACAAATTAAAGGTCATATGTGAGTCTATAATTAATATCATACTTGTGGTCTAGCAAAAAGACAAGGATGTACATTACCCACTACTGTTAAACATAATGTTGAAAGGTAGAACATGTTTCATCATAATGACCCTTATTTTTTATCATAGAAAGGGGTATATGACAATTCCTTTACATGTACTTTGCTCAAGAGTATTACTAAACTTGTAAACAAATCAAATATAATATACATATCATTATTCTGATATAGAACCCTGAAATTTTCAGCCATATAATGAAACAGATTAAATAATAAGGAAATAATAGGCTTTTAAAAGACTATTTTCTTCCATCTTGTTTTATCCCTAATCCACAATGTACTTGAGGATATATTTTGAACTATTTCTATGGTGACTCTGTTTACTTACACATCTTTATGTTCTGCATACATACACATTTATCAAGGGCCTACTATGTGTTGGATTGGTTCTGGGAGCACTCTAACAAAAGCCAAATAAGAAGCAAAGCACATATCTTTGGACCACATCTTCCTTTGAGTAACTCTTACCTTAAAAATAGTTAGTTTCTATGTCCATCTGTGAGGACTCAAATTGTACCTGCTTGTTTCCTTTACTGACTTAGGAAGACTTTCTTTTTCTTGCTGTGATTTATCACACAAACTGTGGATTTTATTTCTGGCTTTTTCAACCTACAGGCTTCAGAGTGCCATCACTGGCAATGTAAAAACAGTTAGGTATCACATAGTAAAATGATGTACTGTCTTTTTTAAAGCATCTAATTAGCTAAAGTATGAATCTGTGCATGATTACAGGTGTCAGTAGGAGGATGTATTGACTAAGCCAACATCTGTTCTGTGCCAAGCTAAAAGAGTGATAATTTTCACAACTGGTCATTTTCTCAAGGGCACTCTTGGCTTTTAGTCAAGCTAAAACATCTTGTTTTCAAAATCAGTAAATAGTCATAATAATGGAAGTATTAGTGGAATCTGAATTGCTAATATCTACTAAAACATCTATGAAAAACAAGCAACATAGCACAGCATTAAATCACCTTTTTTTTTTTTTTTTTTTTTTTGATTTTTCGAGACAGGGTTTCTCCGTAGCTTTTTTGGTTCCTGTCCTGGAACTAGCTCTTGTAGACCAGGCTGGCCTCGAACTTACAGAGATCCGTCTGCCTCTGCCTCCCGAGTGCTGGGATTAAAGGCGTGTGCCACCACCGCCCGGCTTAAATCACCTTCTTTAAATGGTTCAATTCTGAGTGATCCAATTGTTTGGGGCCATTGTCTCTCAAATTGTAGTATATATTACTACCCTTTTGCCTAGAGATACTCAAGGAAAGAAGTTCTGGAGACGCACTAACCTGTCTACTATTGCATTTTTCTCCCAGGGAAGCAGAAATACCTGTGTGCCAGCAGAAATGATTGTACCATTGATAAATTTCGGAGGAAAAATTGTCCATCTTGTCGACTCCGAAAATGTTATGAAGCAGGGATGACTCTGGGAGGTAAGAATATTTTCTTCTTTTTTTTTCTCCTTGTTCTTTTTCTCCTTCAGCTCGCCTCCCTCATAATTATTGCACTAGACACAATTCTCCTCTGCAAAGCTTCAGAGAGTGCCATATAGGCACAAGACTCAGGCTGACTTTCTCATGGTGCCTTCTTTATTTTCACCTATGACATTCATATCTTTGGAGTTTTGCTTAGGATCAGGAGGCATGAAGTAAGGATCCGAAACTAACGGAAAATGAATGAGGGTATGTTTTTTGGATTCGGTTCCTCGGGTAGTCTATTGATACTGGCCCAAAGCTGTTCAGTGGTAAGGACGAAAGAACCAAGTAATCAAAACTGCCACAGGTGCAGGATGAGTAGGGTACAGGCAGGCTGTGAACACCTGGGACTACCCCTCACCTAATTGCCGCGTGTTCTGTAGAGACAGCCAACTGGAGTGTAAAGCTGCTTCTCTTTGGACTCTGTCTAAGGCACCAAACAGAGCCAATTTCCTATCCTGTGTCTCCCAGAAATCAGCAGGCCTTTTAATCATTTCCTTTTCTTTACAGATCCATTGATTGTTTCCAAAAGCATTTTTCCAATGGCACAGTAGCTTCTTAGAAGATATAACCCTTCCAAGGGTGACCATCTATTGAAGTCTCTGTGTTCCATGAACGTGTGTCTACCATGAGCTCTGTCATCCTTCTGAAATGGCTTCATACTGCTTGAATGACACATATTTCCCCCTCTTCTAATTCTTCATATCTTCATCTGCCTCATGCCAGAATTCACACGGCTGCCTGCTGCTTCCAAACAGATGCATCCTTCATGAGAAAAAAACAGCTCATTAGTCTACTTTGATTTAGAAATGGAACTCAAAGGAAAACAAATGTATTTCTCAGTACCAAAAACTATAATCTTTATTCAATTATTCAGTAACAATTGGAAAAACCCAAATGACTGAGATTCAGCCCACTTTTCTCTCATCTCAGGGCTAATTTACAACAATTGTTATCTCTGATTTCCCATAAGGCACTCGATGCCTTCTCTGCATATATATCATTGTGATAACTACATCCTCCCCTCCTCACGGACCAGTTCGTACTTTTTTTATTATTTTTATTTATTTATTTATTAAATATTTCTGTCTCTTCCCCCCCTCCGCCTCCCCTTTCCCTCCCCCTCCCCCAATCAAGTCCCCCTCCCTCGTCAGCCCAAAGAGCAATCAGGGCTGTTCGTACTTTTTACCAGATCATAATACTGGAAGCAACTTATTTCAGGCTTGATCTGTGAAAATTTCAGCAGGAGCATCTCAAGTAACTGTAGTACTCTCAGGCACCAGAGTAGATGCCCTCTGAGTTATTTTCTAGGCAACTATATCAAATGAGAATCAGATATTTGACAATCCCACCTTGTTTTTCCTTGTCTTGCTAAGAATATCCTATAGTTGTGATATTCAGTGGGGAACAAGCCTCAAGACCATGGAGATGAAGTAGAAAGAAATCCAGGAGAGGTACCAGAGGGAAGGATTGAAAGGAAAAGTTCCAATGAATGTTCCAAGTCCTGAGTAAATGTTCTGATAACACTCGCATGTCAATCATTTAACATCCTGTGAATTATGCATAATATCCAGTGGCTTCTAGATTGAGGATCCCCTTCCTTGACATCTTTTGACTGTAAGCTCATTTTGATACAAGTAAAATTTAATTATAAGATACTCCTTGTTAAGATAGTAGTTTCATATCAGAGTCCATATCCTCCATTAAGAGAAAAAATAGTTCTTCTGACATTATCACAGTGAACCTCTTTGGAAGAGAAATCTACATATGACTAAGATTTTAATTGAACAGTGTAGCACTGATATAGCTTTGTGAATTCAGTCGCTGAAAGAGTAAGACAAAAAGCTATCTGATTGATTTACTAGAAAATGTGGTCGAGTAGACATGGGGAATACAATGCTGAATTGCTATGGACAGTTTTCACCTCAGTTTCCTTCCCATACAAACAAGACAGCACATTGGGCACTAGAGGTTCAAACTAACAAACTTCAAGAAAACTAGAATATAGATGCCCACAAAATACAATGATTCTTTTATTTTGTTTTGTTTTTCTTTCCTTTTACTATGCAGGGAATTGAACCTAGAGCCTTGGGCATGTTAGGCAAGTATTATACCACAGAGATAGATGCCCAGTCAACTCATAGAAGGATTATTGATTACCTCTGAAGTCAGACAGACCTAGGTTAAAAGTCCAGATCTATTCTTTACTCCATGTCCCTATGAACTTCGTTTTCATTATTTGTAATTTCTAGATATCATCCTCAGAGTTGCAGTTAGGAGAAAATAAAAAGATGAATAAGAGCATCTCTGAGAAAGTGCTAGACAAATGTGAGGACTTATTATTACAATGAGGTTCCTAGCATATTAGGTAGACACAAGCTGTTCTTAGCACTTTCCAATGACTTTCTCCTTAATAAATAGCTTGGCTTGCCATGCAGTATGTGATATGTAACAACAGTCAGCAGTTCACAAAAATATGCTTCTGATTACCTCACACTGAAAGGTGCTCCAAGCATAATGCTTAAAGTCTGATTTCAGTAATTTTAATTTTAAAAAGTTTATGGTGATATTAAAGTACCAAGTCAGTGAAAACCAAAGTGTTTTTTTCTCTTAGGCTTAAAATATAAACCTTTGCACGTCGCTGGAGTTATCACCACATCGTCTGCTTTTCAACATAATTCTTCCAATGTTTATTGTTAACTTACAGTATCAGTATGTAACACATTCTATTCAAACAATGGTAAGATAAAAGAAAGTATCAGCACATAGTGACTTTTGTGAATATATTGGTGGTATCCTCTCATTTTCATAAGATTTGGGTTTAGCATAGATTTTTGTCACTTTTAAGTTTAGATATTTAAGTTTAGAATTTAGATAATTTTGATTCCTTTTCTTTATCACTCACACTACAATTATATAATATACAATAAAGCAGCAGTTCAGAATATAGTCTTGGGCAAGTAATTTTTGACTCCCAGAGGCTCTATTTTTTTGCCATCATGAAACTGGGATGATCAGATTTACCAATATTCCTTCTGCTATTAAAATTTTGTGATTTGATGTCAAAAGCCATGAAGAAAAGATCATAAGATTATCAATGTCTTAATTGCCAGTCGCCTGCTCATAGAAGTACTAATACAAGAGATTGATTTGCACAATAATTTTAGCTACCCCTATTCACAGCTATGTAAGGTATATGCCAAAGCCATATTCGATGAATAGATAGTTGAAGGAGTGGAGGATAAAGTAGATGTTTTGAACTCTTGGAGAATATGACACTCTACAACTGATATATGTTTGGTCTCAATATCTTATGATCTCCAGCATGGCTGTGTCTATAGTGTTCCATTTGCTGATGATCTTCCATTTTCTGTTAAATTAAGAAACACTTAGTACATATAGCCTTTTCTTTGAGTTTCCATGCCTACCTTCCTATCCCCTTGCTTATTTCCTTAGAAACTAATTGGTATTTATTAAATAATCCCACAGGTGATGAGTTCTCAAGATAACCTTTCAGGCTCTTAAATGTTCATCTGTGGAAAAATATGTCTTTCTTTGTTCTTGATTAATATCTGACTGCTTTTGAAAACTGTATATCAAGAATTGCTTAAAGAATTTACATGCTTTGCCCATTTGTTATTTTAAGAAAACACTTAACAGCCTGGATAAGGACCTTGCCTTCAGTGAATTGATGTTGACTTTTATATATTACATAATTCAGGTAAATGCACAGGCATCTCTCACTTTATTTTGTAATTCCCAAGAAACACTTCCAGTTTCCAAAATGGAAAGAAACAACCAGCCTTCCTGCCATCTTCTTTCCTGGCCTTTTTCTTTGCTCATGTTTCATCTTTTCTCTTATTGCCCTGGACAACTATTATTTCTTTTTTTCCTAAGACTCAAAAGTTCTTAGTATGTAGTAAATATCACGAACCTAAATATTCCTTGCCATGAACCATTTTATTTTGTAGGCTGTACAGAAATTTGACGTAGCAGCTACCACCCACAGGAAAGGAAGGACAATGGAGACTCAGAGCATGTGAGATTTGAAAAAGTGTACATTTATTTGAAAGGTTATTTAAGCCTGTTATCCCAGTATTCGTGAGGCTGAGAAAGGAATATCATGACTTTAAGGCTAGTTTGCTACATAGTAAGCTGCAGGTCAGCTAGGACTATATAGTGTGAGCATTCTCAATAAACAAGCAAGCAAAAAGTTTAAATGAGAAGTTTCTTTACTCCTAGGAGATTGAGCATTGCCTATAAAGACAAAATCTTAACACATATGCAAATTTCAACAATGTCCATGAGTTCTGTAGTTAAGAAAATAGTTCAGAGAACCCTGCCAATAGTCTGATGCCACAATAAACAGTAATTTCCAATGTTCAAGGTAGTCCTTATGACAACTACCTCATCATTCACCACCTCCAAGAGAAGTACAACATTGCTCCTTCCATATAAGATATCCCAGATCTGAGAAAATTATTGCAATGCTGAAATACAAATTATGACATGGGTCTTTGTGTAATTTTCAATTCACTGATGTGACTTCATCTCTCCATGCACTTACTCATCTACAAATACATTTAATAAGTTCCTATTACATGCTAAATATATACCAAACTCTATACGAGCCATCTTGGAATGGCAAGCCTAATAATAGAGATTTAAACATATTCTTGTTTTTTATACTTTATTTGACTTTGTTTTATGTGTGTTAGTATGAAGGTGTCAGATCCCCTGGAACTAGAGCTAGAGACAATTGTGAGCTGCCATGTGGGTGCTGGGAAATGAACCCAGGTCCTCTGGAATAGCAGCCAGTACTTTTAACCACTGAGCCATTTCTCAAGCCCCTTAAATGTATGTTTTAAAAATTATATAGGGATATGGAGATGGTTCATCGTGTGATGGCAATTGTTGCCAACCCTATATCCCATATTTGATCTCTGGAACCTATATTG